ACTCGAATAATTGTGTCTCCTTTTCCCAAATTCTCCATTTTTGTGGACAATCTAAGCGTCAATTAGGGAGACATTACTGTACACTCGACTATCGACGATCTATTCATTTTTGTTATAAACGCATGAAATCCGCAGTCTAGTAATAACAATAAAAATGAGTACAATATTGTTATAAATATCGAATGTCTTAAATATATTTTTACACATGAAATCAATCTAATATCTGTTTTTAAATATAAAATGAATTAAATATTTCTATGAATATGAAATGATCTAAATATTTTATCGAATTTGACAGGAACTAAACGGCCTTTAAAATATTTGAAAGTGTATGTGTTTAACTTACAGACATATTTAGTTAAAATTCTAGATCGATTCGGAAAGTTAAACTTTTGCACTGAAACACACATCGATGCAATTATGTCAGACGGTACGGCAATTGCAGTTACCGCGACTACATTTCCGTTTTTCTGCGAAGGTATTACTTTGAATCATTTACGTTGCGGTCGGACTTCTACTTCTGGACGACATTTTTAACGTTTACGTAGCAATATCCATTCCGGCAGGTATAAAGTAGTTCGCCAGTTCCCGGTATCGATGTCGAAACGTGTTTATTCTTTTTATCGGTTCGTTTATCTCGGCCAGTTTCTCGCCGGAGTCGAACAAAACGGTATTTTAAGTAAAAATATTTTCAATAACGGAAGGATACCGCTTATGAAATAACTAGGCAGCGTTTCATGACTTCAAGGCCTACGATAACGCAACAACTACAATACAATGGAAATGGTTGCACAGTTTATTACAGCGTTTGTTCAGTTTTATTTTTGCACAACAGATCTTTCTAAGGATAGATATTTTTATTTTATGATTATTAGAAATTCAAAAGACGAATGAATTCCATCGTACATGCTATAGTAAACCGAACGTATTTTTTGCAAAATTATTTAGCAATATAAAAATGCTGTCGAATTACGGCGTACAAATTTTTAAATATTTAAAACAATAATTACAGAATAAGAGTTACCATCTAATTCCCATTCATACTAAACATATCAAAAACAATTAAAATTTTGACAAAGGATTGACACGTCCAAAAGTAACAATAGTTCCTCATTTATTTTAAAATGAACACGAGCTGTCCAGACAATTCAATAAGAATGAAGTATTCCATGCTTAATGAATCTTCCTCGTGTCATTAATATAATTCTCGAAATTTCGTAATTCGTTTAAATAAATCCAGCGTGGTATTTATAAACACTCGGCTGCTGTAATTAAAAAATCTATGAATAGAAGTTGTAAAATAGCTGACAAGCCGAGGATGTTTGAGGGACCTTATATCTTTAGAAACGGAAGTCGGTAATAATTGAGTATTTCGAATTGTTCACCAATAATAGAGGATCTTATTCCGTCGGGCTGGTATACTTGTTCTAGAAAGTTGAATTCAAGCAAATGCAAGGACTAAATCGTCGAGAGGTCTACAGATTTTAGTAGCCCAAAAGGAGCCGCGGATCATCTAATAGTAAATTGTTATCGATCAAACGCAATATAAATCTTTTAAGAAAAATCTTTCAATTTTAGCCAGCACACGCCAATACCGGATTTCACGGCATTTATTTCTGCCGCGTCTCGATAATTTTTGCAGGGAAAAACAAAAATCAAAGTCCCTTATCGTGAATATAAAAGCGTAGACTTCTTATTGTACATGTACAGGGTGTCCAAAAATTATTGTATAAGCGAGAAATGAGGGATTCCCGAGGTGATTTGAAGTAACTCTTTCCTTAGCGAAAATGCAATCCGCGGCTTCGTTTACTCGTTATTAACGAAGAACGGTAAGCCAATCAGCGGAACTGGGCTTCGACAGCTCGGCTCGGCCGCTTCGCGCCTCTCATTGATCATTATTTTTCGTTAATAACTCGTAAACGAAGTCGCGAATTGCATTTTCGCTAAGGAAACAATTACTTCAAATTATCCCAGGAACCCCTCATTTCCCGCTTATACATTAATTTTGGGACACCCTATATGTTATCAATGTTTCAAACCAGGTCACTACATCAATAGATCATCTACACAACAATACATAATGTTCTTTTTTATTTTATACTGGAAATAACAATCGGCTCAAAATGACTCGTTTCTGACTTTTTCTTTTACAGTTGTCGAAATTATGAGAGTGTTACCAGGAGAAATTTTTTAATAAACTTTTTTATTTAAGCATATATTATAATAGAAATCGTACAAAGTTAGAGTAAATCCACTAAGGTTTAGTAAATTAGAAATTCGCTAAGGAAAAAATTACTTCAAATGACCTCGGGAACCCCTCTTTTCCTGCTTCTACAATAATTTTGGGCCACCCTGTATATTGGAGAATATAGCAAAACGATATTTATCATGGAGGATTCATAAGTCCCATTTCACTCATTGCGATAATTTGACATTGTATAAATTGCGTTCCCGCGATGTGGCAACATTTAATAATAATTGAACCGTTCGAATTTCGATAAATCAGAAAATTTCGGAACACGAATTCTTATCAACGTTTCCAATTCAGATCTTACGATACAGGTAATTTGTTCGCATAAAAATGATTGGGCGCGCTCTTTTGATGGCGTGCACGAACTCGAACTGTGTAATATGTATGTACACGTGGCCTCGGCCATTGGAGAACTGGTCGGTGAAAGAGGCGGTAATACAAAACGCAACGAGGTGGCCTTAAGTCGACGAAGTTTCACTACCACGTTCTACGGTTAAATTATTTCGTTGCTGTTGACGCATGCACCGCAACGTTTATTACTCGACGAAACACGAGCCGAGCGTGGATTATACTCTGAAATGAATCGTCGATCGAAATATCCTTATGTCACGAAACACGCGGCGCAGATTCGATGGCGGGCAGATCGAATTAAAAGGCAATCATATTAACCATTCAATGGCGTCGTAAAGCATACCTAATTATCCGCACATTTAGCAACGTTTACGCGAGCTGTACGGTACATTAGAAAATTATATATATATATATATATATATATATATTATTATATTATATTATAATTTGACTATAATTTATATATATAATATTATATATATAATTATATAAATATAAATATTATATATATAATTTATATATATATAATATTATATATATAATTATATAAATATAAATATTATATATATAATTTATATATATATAATATTATATATATAATTATATAAATATAAATATTATATATATAATATTATATATTAATAGTCAAATTATAAATTAGAGAACGGCAACGCAGTTTCGAATTTCCGCAAAAGTAAAATAGTTTTTCGTAGCAACCGTCGCATAGGAAGCAGGAGAATGATAACGGATCGTCGAACGGAATGTCGAGTCGACGTCACTGTTCGACAAAATCAAACTTTTTTTCTGATTTTCTATAGCCACTATGAAATTCTTGTAGGGTAGAGTTTTTGTGCAGGACAAACAACTTTTCGTAAAAGTAGAAAAATATTCTGCAGAAACTGCGCACGTCGCAATTTTTTAAACTTTGACATTAAGTTATTGTTATTTAAGACCAAAAACAATTAATAAATTGCATGCCACTATATTCGGGAAACTCTCCTCTATCTTTTAACACCGATTAGAACTTTCTAACGTTTTTGTTTAGTCTAAACGAAATTGGACAATTTGGGAAAAGGCGACACGTTTATTCGATATCCTCGAGCCTCGTTTTTGTAGTTGTTTTGCAATCGGCGACGATGAGAACGAGCCGCGAGGCTCGAATAATCGTGTCTCCTCTTCCCAAAATGGTCCATTTTTATTTACAGTATAAACTAAAAGAAGTAAAGAAAGTGTATATATATATACTTTCAGTATACACTTATATATTTTTGTTTACTGTAAACAAAAATGGACAATTTGGGAAAAGGCGTCAAGCTTATTCGATATCCTCGCGCCTGGTTTTTGTAGTTGTTTTGCAATCGGCGACGATGAGAACGAGCCGCGAGGCTCGAATAATCGTGTCTCCTCTTCCAAAATGGTCCATTTTTGTTTGCAAACCGAAAAACAATCCGGGAAAATTTACTGTGCTTCAAAGAATTCCGGACGCGATCTCGCTTATTACTTTCCGCTCACCCAAAACTGATTTGACTTTCAAGCTTCGTTATTCGAACGATCAGGAATATTAGTTGCACGTTGCGCGTTGGAACTGTTCGTCTCTGTCGAAGTGTTAGCAACAATCGCGTCGAATTCGAGCCCGCCCACGAGCAGCCGCTTGACCTGATCCCCATGTGCGAGGCCACCGCAAACCTCGAACCTCGGGAAAGAGGACATTCGGTATGTAGGACCCCTGATAATAGAAGAGGCGCGGGACACGAGAGTGCAAGGCGAGAGACCGAGATGAGAAGGGACAGTTCGCAAGACGGGAAGACCGAACGAGAGAGAAAAAAAGAAAGGGAGCGAGGAGGCGGAGACGGGAGTAGTATGGTAGGGCATGGTGGGGGCCAAAAGGATATTCGTCGTAATTAAGTCCCTCCGCTTCTTCAACTCAATGCGGCGCGTCTCTGCGAGAAGACGAGCGCGGCTGGATGCGGCCGAGAAGGAGAGCAACGGCCAGGGGGAGGGGAAAGAAGGGAAAGAAGGGAGCGAAGGACACGAGAGGGTACGCCGGGCTGCAGGCGGCTCGGCTCGGTTCAGCTCCGGCACGGTGGAACGGACGAGGAGGAACGCGGGGCGGCCGGGAGAAAAAAGGACGCACGACGATCGGGCAATAAATAATATAGGAGAAAAAGGCGATCGCCTGCAACATTCTGCTCAAATGTTAAATAGGTATCAATTTAACGCGGTCCAATCGGCTGCGCGGTGGGCGGAGCCCGCCGGCCACGGATTGGCTGACGGCGCGGTGGTGGGCGATGCCGCGCGCCCGATCGCCGCTCGAGTCGTCGCAGATCGCATGGTAGGGATGGAACATCTGGTCTCTCTGGTCTCCTCACTACGTCCCGTCTCTCTCGTCGCGACCGACCTGGATCCACGTCCCAACTCGCCACGGATCGAGTTACGGCCGAGCACAGCCCTTTCGAGGACCACGTGAGGACCACACTCGTCACCTTTCCGCCGCAGACCGGTGGTGCACATCGTTCGCGCCCTTCGTTTCCACCGGCCCGGAGCCCCGTCACCAGTTCACGCGCAGCCTCCAGAAAGGGTCCAGGACAGTCGGAAGCTTCCAGGGTGTGTATCCCGATGGAACCAGTTCTGTGATCGATCCTCGCGACCGTTCGGAGGGTGTACTTATTTTGGTAGCGGTTCCGCTGGTACCGCGGTGATCGTCCGACAGTGCCGCGTTGGACATTCGAGGGAGGAGAAGTGCACGCTGCGGACCACGATACAGTGATCGTTGTGTTTCGCGTCGCGATGAGTTGCTGCCTCGTCGATCACCGACGAGCGGCGGTGTCCTGCGAGTGAGATTCCCGTTCCGAGTCGTCGACGAGGGGGACTGAGGTAGCGAGATCCGCGAACAGCATGGCCGTCGGTCCAGCAGGAATACGTGGTGGTTCGAACGTTGGATGAGAGAGCGTACCTACTCTACCTGGGGGGTCGCAAGTTTACGAGTTCGGACGTCGGATCGGTGCGATAATCCGGACATTTCGCGATCGATGTTATCATCGGTGTGTCCGCGCGTCGGTCGGTGAGTCGATAGAGAGACGCAGAATGCGATTCGGCGGCGATCCGCGGTGAGCAAGAGCGTCGCGCGATTGTTAGCAAATCGTCGGAGAAGGGTCGGGATCGGGGCAGAGAGGACTAGAGATAGAGCCTTTTGCGGGCCATGTCGGTGCAAGGGGACAGCGACGTGGACGCGACGGAGGAGATCAACGTGGACGATTCGGACACCGGGAGCTGCGGGCCGCACGACTACGTGAACGACGGTCGTCGGCTGCCGCAGGAGCACTCGGAGTGCTCGAACTCGCCGCCGCCCAGCCAGACCAGCTCGAGGACGCTTCAGAACGAGTCGCCGAGGAGCCATCCGTTCAGCATAAGCCGTCTACTGGGCGAGAATCGGCCGCAGAACCCGAAGAGCCCGTCCTCCGAGGACTTGGACAGCGACAAGGAGAGGAAATGGTCGTGGGAGGAGGGCAACAATAACGTCGGATCCTCGATGATCTTGGACGACGGCAGAAGATCGTGGGGACACGAGATCGAGGAGAAACTGTCGGAGAAGGACGACGACGACACCGGGAGCACGCCGGAAACGCAGACGAACTCGTCGTCGTCGGTGCACTGCTCGACCGCCGCTGACCTCCTGGCACCTTTCAGGCTTTTCCCGACCGGAACTGGTCTGATTTATACCGGCGGAGGTGTAATAAGAGTCCCTGCGCATCGACCGCCGGGTGCTAATGGCACCGGCACGGGTGCACTGCCCGCACAGGCCTTGATACCACCGTGGAGTTTACAGGCTCTTCAGCACAGTCAACAGCAAGCGGCGGCTGCCGGTCTCCACAGAGCGAGCCTCCTAGCGAATCTGGCTGCACACCCGTTTCAGGGACATCCGCACCTCAAGGACCGGCTGGCAGGTAAGGGAATCGTGCGAACGATTGGACTTCGTATTCGCGAGTTTCGCAGGCAGGACACTTTTCGGAGAAAAGAAGATCCCGTGGGTCGGGAAGTCTTGGGTCGAGTCGTAGGCCCGATGTCGGATTTCTTACGGGTCGGGAATTGATCGGTCGAAGTGATTCGTTGTGTCTTGTTTAGTTGGCAAACAGACGCACGTTTGGTAAGGAATATGAGCATTCGAGGGGGAACTGTTTTGCCGTCGATTTAACCAGTTAAGCGCGTTTCTCGTGTATAAACGTCGAACCAAATCTCTATTACGGTGCGTTCGACGTGTTTACTCGTCGTTAAAAACATAAAATCACCATTGACTATGAAAACTCGAAATTTTAATGAAATACAATAAGAATATTATTTGGTGGGATGTTTCCTTTATATTACCAATAGAACTGCTAAGTATTTTATACGGAGGGGGTGGTGGGAGTCAAGATACTGGTGTAACACCTGCGAAGTGCCACTTTGTGTGGTACCGTGTTTCGAGAAATATCACACCGAACTCGATTGGAATTCTTAATATCTTTTTTTCTACATGTGTCTATCTTGTTTATGTGTTTTATTATTATTTGAGAATTTTTAAGTTTATAGTAACAATAACTTTTCAGAAATAAATTGTNGACGACGACGACACCGGGAGCACGCCGGAAACGCAGACGAACTCGTCGTCGTCGGTGCACTGCTCGACCGCCGCTGACCTCCTGGCACCTTTCAGGCTTTTCCCGACCGGAACTGGTCTGATTTATACCGGCGGAGGTGTAATAAGAGTCCCTGCGCATCGACCGCCGGGTGCTAATGGCACCGGCACGGGTGCACTGCCCGCACAGGCCTTGATACCACCGTGGAGTTTACAGGCTCTTCAGCACAGTCAACAGCAAGCGGCGGCTGCCGGTCTCCACAGAGCGAGCCTCCTAGCGAATCTGGCTGCACACCCGTTTCAGGGACATCCGCACCTCAAGGACCGGCTGGCAGGTAAGGGAATCGTGCGAACGATTGGACTTCGTATTCGCGAGTTTCGCAGGCAGGACACTTTTCGGAGAAAAGAAGATCCCGTGGGTCGGGAAGTCTTGGGTCGAGTCGTAGGCCCGATGTCGGATTTCTTACGGGTCGGGAATTGATCGGTCGAAGTGATTCGTTGTGTCTTGTTTAGTTGGCAAACAGACGCACGTTTGGTAAGGAATATGAGCATTCGAGGGGGAACTGTTTTGCCGTCGATTTAACCAGTTAAGCGCGTTTCTCGTGTATAAACGTCGAACCAAATCTCTATTACGGTGCGTTCGACGTGTTTACTCGTCGTTAAAAACATAAAATCACCATTGACTATGAAAACTCGAAATTTTAATGAAATACAATAAGAATATTATTTGGTGGGATGTTTCCTTTATATTACCAATAGAACTGCTAAGTATTTTATACGGAGGGGGTGGTGGGAGTCAAGATACTGGTGTAACACCTGCGAAGTGCCACTTTGTGTGGTACCGTGTTTCGAGAAATATCACACCGAACTCGATTGGAATTCTTAATATCTTTTTTTCTACATGTGTCTATCTTGTTTATGTGTTTTATTATTATTTGAGAATTTTTAAGTTTATAGTAACAATAACTTTTCAGAAATAAATTGTTAAGTTTTTCTTAAATAAAAATGTAGTTCTTCTTCGTTTTTCATAAACGTGTAATAGGACCATTTCGTTCTGCGTTCGTCGTGTATACACGTCATCGCTTGATTTTAATTCCGCATACTGCGAGGGGTTTTTAAAACTAAATTCGACGCTTAACTGGTTAAATGATCCGACGTTCCGCGCGACCCAATAAATGCTGATTGGTAATGTACGTGTGTTCGGTAAGATACAGAGATAAACGAGTGGACCAGAAATTATGGCGTTAGTTAGGTTTTTTCAAAAATCTTTACTTCTATGGCTTAGAATGTTATCTATGTATGCCGAAATGTTAAAAGAACAAGTGAAGGTTAAATTATAAATTGAAGTAAATTATAAACTTAATTCCAAATTATATTCGCAATAGAGAAAATGTGACTTATGCCAACTTATGATCCTAACGCGCTCAAATAGTTTTAAACGAAGGATTTCGGTGTTTTAAACATTTCAGAAATAACTCGGATTATTCAACGTGGTTTACCTTTAATTAGATTGGAGATTTCATTGGTGACGGATCTCGATAGGCTAACAAGACACTCTTTCATTCCGAAATCTTTTGTGCTGTTTAAAGAAGCATAATTGCGCAGGAATATGTTCTCTCGTTGCTCATCTTGAAATCGAAACGAACGTTACAAGATTTATGCAATTGTAACCGTCAAATAAACCAAACGGAAGCATATTAACAATAATATATAAACTTAACAATGAGTTTAAAGCATAAATCGATTAAACCCGATGAAATTGACGTCTGCTACAATAAAGCTAAATGATCGATAAGTTAGAAAATATACGGACGATCGTTTAACACAAGTGCTTTACTTTAAACGATGTTAAATAGAAAACTACACAAATAATTAAATGAATAATATTTATAGCAGTAGTAAAACGTGGCTGCTCTTTTCACAATGAATATAATTTTGAAGAGTATTAAATATATTTATTTTCTTGGCTGAGTAAATAAAGAGTAAAATATATGGAGGTGAACCTTTTCTTTTTTTTTAAATAACTTGACTTTCGCTCAAAGAACTCCATCGATCGTAATAGGTATATCTACGTAAATCGTCGGTGATTCAAATGCCGAATAGTTAGAGGTAACCTCTGTATAACGCGATTAGAGAATTGGGGATAATCCCATATGTATGCATACATACATAATCCCTTGTACATAAACACCGTACATGATGGGGTGAAGGCGAGCAAGCTGTTATGCTTTGTCAAAGTGATAAATGAAAAGCTACTGTACTGATCTACTAAAACCTGTAATTCTAACAAGGAGGTGTTGTCTATAATTTTTGTACGATTTTTGAAACGTGTTTCTACTTCTATTTAATTAATTATTCGCTGATTAACGTATTCACCCATTTCTCGCTGGTTGAAACTATGGAACTGTCTTCAAAATCGGTTTGGCTCGAAAATGAAAATTTGTAACACAATGATACATATTTACATTTACTAAAACGGATTGACATATTTCAAAATATTTACGGTTTTTCTGCCGTCGCTCTATATCTTCATTCTGTAATTTCATTCCGTTTTACATACCACTGTTTTCAATACTGCATTTGAAAAAAAACACATAATCTTCTATTAGATTCAATTATTTCTTTTCTATATTGTGAACTAATATTTTATGATACATTTTATTGATGTATTTTATCTGTATGTTGCGCAACTTCTTGTAATAACAATTGTCCGTCTACTATAAAAAGTTTACCAGAATTGTCAAATCCTCGCGTACCGAAGCGACTACGGTAATGTCTCCATAATTGACGCTCCAGATTGTCCACGAAAATGGACAATTTTGGAAAAGGAGATACGATTGTTCGAGTCTTGTGGTTCGTTTTTTATGGTTATCGATTGTCAACAACTATAAAAACGAGTTGCAAGGCTCGAATAATCCTATCTTCTCTTCCCAAATTGTCCATTTTTGTTCATAATCTGAGCATCAGTAAGGGAGACATTACTGTACAGTAATGTCTCATTAATTGACGCCCAGATTGCGCACAAAAATGGACAATTTGGAAAGAGGAGACTCGATTATTCGAGCTTTGCGGTTTATTTTTATAGTTATAAATTGTCCACAATTATAAAAACGAGCCGCAAGGCTCCAATAATCGTATCTCCTCTTCCCAAATTGTCCATTTTTCTGCACAATCTGAGCGTCAGTTAGAGAAACATTACTCTATTTAGATTTTTCTGAATATTTATACAACGATTTTGGCTTTCCGGTTCTCGTCTTCGAACGGACTGCCAGTTTCCGAAATAGACATTTTTTCGGTATATACGTGTCAGTGAGCATGCTTGGCGATACCTAATGGCGTGTTACAATAACTGACGGAATCGGTCCGTGTGTCCAGAATTGTGGACTTCCTAAATAAAATCTGGCACGGTAAACGGTTTTACACACCTAGGCGATCAAAATTTCTGTGAAACGGTCTCTATATGAAGTTACATTAGCAGTTTATATAAATATCGTATATGTCCGGGAAATTTTGTTCGTCGCGCAAGCACATGGCGCGATTTTACATTAAATTAATTTCAAATTAAAAAGACACATTACTGTTTAAAAATATTCGATTATGCAATGGTTCAACTTCTTTACGATTAGCGTAACTAAGAAACCGATTAAACTAACGAACATAATCGTAATATGTAGCGTATAAAAACCGGGATTATGAAAACTGTGTTTTTCATTGCAATCTGTCATTATTTTCAAAGATTTCTATATTTTATAGCGCTGGGAACGTGATTTTCACTTGAAAAGTTTCCCATTATTCTCTATCATGTTCCAACAACAATACTATCGTTAATTTTTTGTTGGAGCCATACGCGTTGCGCGCTGAAAGCGTGTAGTGAATTATTCGGAACATCCGTATGAACTATGTGAACATGATTTATAAAAAAATTAAAATTTTGTTATGCTTACATCGATACCTACGCGAAATCTTGTTTTCGTAAATTCGAAGGCGGATGTTTCACAGTGCAATTATACTTTTAACCGAAAATATGTCTTCGTTGAATGCACTGGTGCATATCGGTAACTGTAGCGGGATGAAATTAACCCTTTGCACTCGAGTGGTGACTCTGAGGCACCACTGAAATTTGTTATATCACGTTCAAAGATAATTGTTACATTGACACACAAAGTTTAGATTTAAAAAAAATTGTTAAAAGCGTAACCGCTGTGTAAGTCGCAAGACTCAATTTCGCACGCGTAAAATGCACTTTGTCGTGTAAAATGAAAATACTATAAATCAAAAAAATTATTTCAGACTTACAGTTAAAATAGCTTCGAGTGCAAAGGGTTAATAATACGCCTGAATTTCGCGCGTAAGAGACGAACGAGAGTTGCATAAAAACTGGAAATACCGGGGACGTCAGAAAAGTCTGTGTAATTAACGAATTTTTACACGGAAGGAAATATCTACTGTTATCAGCTGTTTAGCATTTGTCTCGTTCGTCGGTTGGTAATTAGCAAGAAATCGTCTTCGTCGTCGAGACGAGCTAATTTTCTCCCTGCGAATCTTAGTACGTTACGTGTATTATCAGCTCGCGTCAATTAATCGCCCGCTGGGAAAGCTGAAGTTAGTTAAACGAAGGGAACAGGCTTGATACACTTTTAAATGCGCTAATCGCAAACACGCGAAATCGTATCCGATAGTCCGCGAAACAAACGGTTAATGACTGCAAGCTGTTTTACTTACTATGGTTAAATTATTCGATGACTATAAAACAAATTATTCTGTGGCTTTATTTTATTGCTAGTTTTACTGTTCGGCCAATATTTACAGACGATTCAATGGTTTAACAGGCTTGATACACTTTTAAATACGCTAATTGCAAACACGCAAAACAAACGGTTAATGACTGCAAGCTGTTTCACTTACTAAGATATATTATTCGATAACTATTAAACAAATTATTCTGTGGCTTTATTTTATTAATAGTTTTACTGTTCGGCCAATATTTACAGACGATTCAATGGTTTAACGCTGCTCCGTCTGTAGTTCAGATCAGGAATTGTAATCAATTAGACTGCGGATCTTTATGCAAAATAAAAATCATTATTATTTTTAAGAATTAATTATTTTCCTGAGAAATACAAAATTAGACGATCGACATTCCTGAACTCCTTCACTGTCTTTTCAGGTTTTTTTATTTGGCCTATTCATTCTTGTCATAAATGCATAAATTCCGCAGTCCAGTAATTACTATAATTGTTTCTTAAATGTAGATATTAAACGTAGATATCAAAAGAGAGGGTAATTAAAAGGATGAGAAAGCACATTGACAATATTACGAGCATAATTAATCGGA